TTTCTTTTGCAAGAGAATGAGGAAGTCAGAAATTACACTTTTAGGACTATTAATTAGGTAGCTAGCGGAGTGCAGGGAGGCCTAGAGAAGGGGAGAGGCTGGAGGGAGGGAGGGAAGCGATGGCAAGAGTTCAGGGAGAATGGAATCCTGGCTTTGCCATTTTGTCAGTCAATAAACATTTATTAGTTGTCTACTATGTGCCAGGCACTATGTTAAGTGCTGAAGATGCAAAGAGAGGTAAAAGACAGTCCTTGTCCTCCAGGAGCTCACAGGCTCACACTTGTGAGCTCACCTGTGTAACCTTGGCTAAGTCCCTTAACTTCCTTGGGCCTCAGTTTCTTTATCTGAAAATGTGGAAGTTATACTATATGATCCTGAAGATCCCTTTCAGACCTAAGCCTGTGAGCCCATGATTCCATTAACTATGACTGCAAGTCCAGACTCTTAGCTTCCAGGCCCAGTCACTTACCGTTCTTGGGTAAGTTCCCTCGTGTAAAATGAGGGGGTTAGACAAGATGATTTCCAAGACCACCCTTCAAGTCCTGATTGCAAAGGGGGACCTCTGTGAACCCCACCACAGAAGGGAAGGGATAAACAGCTGCAGCTTTGTCACCTCCCAGCGGGGGGGGGGGCACCTTACTCTGTCATTTCTTTTTTTGTTAAGGCAATTGGGGTTAAGTGACTTGCCCAAGGTCACACAGCTAGTAAGGGTCAAGTGTTTGGTCTGAGGCTGGATTTGAACTCAGGTCCTCCTGACTTCAGGACCGGTGCTCTATCCACTGCACCACCTAGCTGCCCCCTTACTCTATTATTTCTTAGCCCTTGACCATCATCATAATGATCATCATAATCAAGCCAATTGTTTGTAGAATGTTTTTCCTGGAAAAGGCAAGGAGATGTGTGCCTCTATGTGTCAAGTTTATATAGAGAATACTAATATTACTTGCTGCCCCTTTCCCTCTCAGGGTTGTCTTGCCCAAGGTCACACAGCTAGTAAGTATCAGAGGACGGTTTTGAACTCAGGTCTTCCTGACTCCAGGGCTGGTGCTCTATCCACTGTGCCACCTGGCTGCTCCTTGCTACCCTTTTCAATGGATGATATTTCATGCAGAGTGTTTACAAGTGAAAATTTTGTTTATTTAATGCCAGGGTGGAGATGTCAAGACAGTTTAATTGGGGAGGAGGGAATTAGATTTGGGGCATAGGCCCAGAAAGACCCACAGATGTAAACACACACAGACAAGAAATTCTGCAAGTCTAAATAAGACCAATCACCAGCCAACCTCCTTGGGGTACCTTCTGGCTCTAAATACTGTAATTCACACAGATCCAATTCCTATCATCTTGACTTCTCTTCTTCTTCTTCTTCTCTTCCCCCCTTACCACTACCCCCCTCAGACAGTGGCTTCTCAATTCTGGACCCACTGTCCTGAGACCCATTGAACCTCACTGCTAGCATTTTATCCACTCCATTGGCAAAGTCACTGACAGAAAACCTTGTGGCACTCATAACTGAATGTCGTCGTGATGGATGTATACCCAGCTAACTGATTTCTGAGCCATTTCTGTCTCATCAGGTGCCCAGAGAAAGATGACGCTGAAGTTTATAACACCAGAATTGTGTTATCCCAAACACATGGGTTTTCCTCATTCGTGTGTTTCCCTGCTAGGTATCTCCAGGTTTCTGTCCACTTTTTTTCTCACAAATAGTCAGCAAACTGGTGGGATAATGTTATCTAGGTTTATAAGTGGACAATGATACATTTATTATTTGTGTTTGCCTAATATGAATTGTTGCTGCTTTCACCTTATTAAGTAAATGGTTATGTTAAAGATCTAATGTGTCACCTTTGTGAGAAACTGGATTTGGGCAAATAGAAGTGCTCTGATTGAGGCTTGAGAGAAATGCTGGTGAGGAGAGAGTGGATTCTCTCACAACAGGGTTATCCATAGTTGAGTGTAGACACACAGTGATCCTTTTTCTGAGAAATTAGACCTGCCAATGTGAGAGCAGGTTGTGGTGAATGAACCAGATCAGAGAGTGAGTTTGCAACTTGTTCAGACCTACCAAAACTTGAAGTCCCCTGGCATAGCCTTTGAGAGCCCAGGGTCACCTCCATACCATGTTAAAGAACTAGGAAGCTAAATGATACAGTGGATGGAGGTCACAACAGCTAGTAAATGTTAGATTTGGCAAGTGACTTGAGAACCTTGTCAGGTAGATTGGATGGCAAACCATTGGTGGAATCACAAGTAGATGGGCTGCAGGTGTAAGCTAGCAGGTACTACTCAGCTGTGGGGCTCAGAGGCCAAACAGCTAAGGATAAATGGTCCCAGCTGTGAAGATCTGGGGAGCTCTTGGGCAGGAAGACAAACTGTCTTTCTGACCTGGCCTGTGGCCAATGATGGTTAGGTCTCCTGTTACCCCAGAGCACAGTAGTGAGGTTGGCTTGGCCATGGCAGGAATGTGGACACAAGGGAGGGACACAGGATGCCTGGGTTATGTCTGAGATCTGCCTGGATATATTTAGGAAGGCTTTAGCAGCCCACTGAGTGCCTTTCTGTCCCCTCTCCTCTCTCATCCCCCATGTGCATGCCAGGTCTATACTATCTCCATATTCCTGGGTTCCCACATACAAAAAGGCCCTGCTTTGTAAAATTATAAAATCCAGGTGGCCTGTCTGAAATCTGGGAGGGCTTCTGGGCCCTTAGTATCATACCTGGGATTGTACAAGGCACTGTAAGGGGAGACAAGGTTCCAAATTGATTCCAAATCCATCATCTGATCCTTTCCCTAGCTAGAACCATGACTCTATGCTTCCATTTGAAGCTCAAAGTAGTTCTGCAAGATAGGAAGAAGAGTTTTTTATTATCTCCATTTTATAGACTGGGAGACTAAGATTCAGGGTGGGGTAGGGGGACGTGATTTGCCCTGAATTGAAAAGGAGGTTAGCAGTCAAACCAAGGCTAGGCATGGTAGGGATCCCTGGAATACAGGTGGTTGCGATAGAAGGGGGCGTTGGGATCTAGTGTGTTTTAGAACATAGTCTGATGCTGAGCAGAACCAGGAGAATGTTGTACTCAGTAACAGCCACATTGTGTGGTGACTAATATTGACAGACTTAGCCCTTCTCAGCAATACAAAGATCTAAGACATCTCCAAAGGCCTCATGATAGAAAATGCTATCCACATTCAGAGAAAGAACTATGGAGTTTGAATTTGCTATTTTTTTCTTCTATTGTATTTTGTTTCCTCTTTCTGGTGGTTCCTCCTATTGGTTCTAATTCTTCTTTACAACATCACTAATGGGAAAATATGTTTAATAGGAATGTATATGTAAAGCCTATATCAGATTGCTCACCATCTTGGGGAGGGAGGTGGGGAAGGAGGGGGAGAAAAATTTAAAACTCAAAAGCTCACGGAAGTGATTGTTGATAAAGCAAAATAAGGCCACGATGAAAGAAAAAGAACATAGGCTATAGAATGTTCTAGCTAGTTGTTTGTCTTTCCTTTTTTCAGAGGACCAATGACATCATGAGTAATGTCTTGACTTGCGTGTGAATTGGATTTTAAGTGAGTCAGAATTGCACAAACTCATTGTCCTCACCCCTTTCTTCCAGAGTCGTCGAAGCCCGGTGGCAAGACAAAAGTCAGGACGACTGGCGATGGCCCAGGATGCAGTAGATGACCTTGGCATCTTTGATGTCTAACCAAGCTCGAAGCGCTCCACAGAGCCTACTTTAGCCACATTCCTGACCATTGAAACAAATTGTTCTCATCCACCCATTCCACTGGGGGAAGTCTTCTCATGCTTGGAGGAGACACTTCCCAACTCACCAATCGGTTTGTGGTCTGTTAGTTACCTCAACCTGGTTTGTCTGCTGAGCCGTTTCCTGGGGTGTGGCTGCTGTGTTTGCTATAGATTCTTGGAGCCACAGCTGAGAGTTGGGTGAAGGTGGCACTAAAGGTGGATGAGCAGCCCTGAAAAGGATTTAGTATGCCCTTGCGCCAGAGGTGCCAGTCCTCCAGGAATACCCACATGTGTACATGATCCCTGCTGGCACATCTCTAACAGGAGGTCATCCAGCCTTTGCTTAACCACTTCTGGTAATGGGGAGATTACTACATCTTTTTTGGGGCACAATTCATTATTTATTCATTTTTAACATTCATTAAAAAAATTTTTGAGTTCCAAATTATCCCTCCTTCCAGCTCCCCTCCCATTGAGAAGGCAAGCAATGTGATATCAATTCTACATGTGAAATCATTCAAAACTTATTTCCATATTGGTCACTTTGCAAAAAAAAAAGAAAGAAAGAAAGTTAAAAAAGCATGTCTCCATCTGCATCCAGATTCCATTAGTTCTCTCTCTGGAGGTAGATAGCATTTTTTGTTATGGGTCCTTTAGAATTATTTTGGATAGGTTCCCTACATCTTGAAGTTCCCTACATCTACTTCACTGTTAGGTAGCCATGGTTCTTAGAAAGTTCTTTATAGTGACCAATTATCTACCTCCTAAAACTTTCATCCGTTGGCCTGACTTTTATGACCAAGGAAAACTGGGAGGGCAAAACCAGTTGATAGCAGGGATTGGTGAGTGGGTGCAAATTGGCAAAATGTGTTGGTGCAAGGTATGATATGGCTGTGGAGTTGTTGAGGATGGTTTCCAATTCCCTCACTATCTTAGTCTCTCTCCTTTGCATGTGCTCCAGTGAGCTAAAGTTCCTCCTGGAAATGTGATACCCAGAAATGGGCACAGAATTCCAGAGGGGGTCTGACTGAATAACATGTTGTGTTAGAATGGAAGTCCATTTCCCTTCTGTGGTTCTCAACTGTCTTCTCCCTCCCTCTGACACTCATTGCCTGTAGGGACTCGATCTTTTCTCTTCTCCCTGAAGCACTAGAAGAGGGGCTGAATTTTATCCACCTGGACTGGCTCTCAGGAGACACAGGTGTGAAGAGTCTTTGTTTTCAGTGTGAGTTCAGGGGCTATATTTTTGTTGCCTTCTGCTTGGACCACAGTGTGTTCAGGGATGGAACTGAGAAGACAGGATACCTGGAAACACTGTACTGGAGCTGGCTAGCTACTTTCTAAGGGGACCTTGACTAGCATAGGCTGAGCATGGGGCAAAAGCTAGATGACACGCTGGACAGTTCCATGGGGAGATGGGCACTTTATTTCAGGGACCTGAAGGGAGGGTTAATACCAACCCAGGTGGAGAACATGGGACTGAGGGTTTATGGAGAGAGACGAGGAGGGTGCAGATAGATGGGGAGTGAGGAATCAGTTCCTGGAGTAAGCACAAGACTAGGGGCATGGACACCAGGGATTGGCATAGAGGCCTGCAGGCTGAACCCTCCAGAGGCCAGGGGAGGCTGGGCTCTGCCTGACAATAGATGGTTTCTTCTCTTTAGCCTGGAAAATAAAGATTCCCATTCTTGTCACATCATCAGATTTGCTCACTTTTCCTCCCACACACCTTTCCCAGGAGACTACTTCTCTCCACCCTCTCCCTCCACCCCAGGGTTGAACCAGACAAAAAGATCTGAGGGAGGGGCAGCTAGCTGGAGCAGTGGATAGAGCACTGGCCCTGGAGTCAGGAGGACCTGAGTTCAAATGCAGCCTCAGACACATAATACTTACTAGCTGTGTGACTCTGGGCAAGTCACTTAACCCCAATTGCCTCACCAAAAAAAAAAAATATCTGAGGGAAGGAATTGCCTTCACTTCTTGGGTCCTCTGTTTGGGTCCCTCTGGGCAGGGCCCAAGTGTCTCATGGACAGACCCTAGAGAAGACCCAGGCATTTTGGCCACTACAGCCTTTGCCTCGGCCAAAGAGCCCCAATTCTCATGGTCTCTAGGTATAATTGGTCCATTTAGGGCTCCAGATTTTCTCTCTCTTCATCTGGAGAGAAGAGATGGTCATGGAGTCCAAGGTGAGCTCAACCGCATAGGAGAGATCCCTGAGCCAGGGAGTAGGGAATCCTTCCAGCCCTGAACATAGGCCATTTGTATAAATGGCATCCCCTACACATCCCCTCACCCCTCCCAAGGCCAGGTAAGGGAAAAAAATAGCCACGGTTGCCGAAGTTTGTCTTCCCCCCTTCCCCTTCTCCCCCATTTCCCTGCTTCTCTCACCTCCTTATTCCTTGCCCCTGAGCTCAGTGACCTCATGCAACCCTTTGGCTGCCTAAACATTGCTGATCCCCCCGTGAAGCAGCCCAGGCTCCCTGCATAGGGCCCCGATTTCCACCTTCAAGCCACAGATCCTCAGTGGGTCTCTGTGTGCATGGGCCAGGGGCTGCCCTGAGCCCCAACAAGCCTTACCCCAAAGGATGCACTTTCCAATGCACTGAAGCTTGGAGTGGAAGTTGTTGCTGCTGCCCCCGCACCCTCCATAGATGAAGGGTTCACACTTTTGGGATGTCTTGTTAAAGAACCAGCGCAGGAAGTAGCCCCGACATAAGCCTTGGTCCTCTGCAGCCTTGCACTGACCTGAAGGGAGAGCAGGGGAATTCAGGGGGCCATGGAAGTGGCAGGTGAGACATCTGCAGGTGAGCTTACAGAGATCATCTAACTCGATTCATTCATTCTAAAGATGAAGAATAGAAGCTCAGAAAGGATGCAAGCACACGTGGCCTTGAGGCTGCAAGTGCCCCACTCCTGGATAAGAGATTTCAAGGCCACCTAACTACCGAGTCACAGGGCCAGGCAAGACTGAAAAGCAGGTCCTCTGGTCCCCCAATCCAGAGTGTCTGAAGTATTCCATTGCAGGGTTCGCTCAGCCCCAACCTGGTTACCCCAGACACCTGAAAATGGTGCCCCACTCTGCTCTAAGGAATACTTATGTATGGGGTTGATATACGGTTTCCACCAGACATTGATCCCTGATGGTTGATTGCCAATCCCTGCTAAAGTAGGCTCTGCTAAAAGCCCCCTCTTAGGAGATTGCATTTTTGATAGGGAACTCTGGAAAATGGAAATTTTGTAGATACAGGGAGTTGTTACAATGAGATAGGAAGGATGAACACAGAATGTCAAAAAAGAGAAAATGGAACATCATAGCTGGAAGGAACATTAGAAGTTAAGTAGTCCAGATCATTGGTTTTATAGATTAGGGCAAGTGGGGCCCAGAGAGGCTAAGTGACTTATGTATTCAGATAACAGTGAGTTAGGGCCAGAGCTGGGACTTAAATCCTGTTCCTTGGCTTCTTCTCATCCAGTGCTCTTTTACCGGCACCCTGCCATCCTGGGGAGACTGTCCAAAGGGATATTCCAGGGGCATAACAAATATTGGGGGAGATTATTTGGGCATAGGGCTCAGCATCCCTTACATTAGAAGCATCAAACTCATGGCCAGATGAGGCCTGCACTCTCGAGTGCAACTAAAAACCAGATTAAATCAATAAAATCAATAGGCAAATACATATATTTATAATATATAAGCATATAATATAAAAATGACATACAATATATAAATGTATTATATAAATATATCTTTACATGTTATATATAAATACATAAATTAATAAATTAAAATATAATATGGAATAAATAATGTTAATTTTTGATTTTCCAAATCAATATGTGGCCTTCAGGGATCATTGAGTTTGACAATTAACATCAAATGTTGTAGCTTACTTAAAATAATAATAATAATAACAACAAGACATTCACATAACATTTCAAGGTTTGCAAAACACTTTACATATATAATCTCAATTGACCCTCAAAATGGTACTGAGGGTGGGACTATAGGAATTATTGTATCTGTGGGTATTATATTCTTTGCAAAGGAAAGGAAATGGTGGCTCAGGTTACACACCTTACCTGTGGTCAAACAGCTCACAAATCTCAGAAGTGGGATTTAAATTGAGGTGTTTCTTGACTCCAAGCCCATCATTCTTATATGCTAAGATTCTGCATCTCTTGGTAAGACTCCTTGATTTTTTTTTTTTTAGAGAGGATGGGGTTGAGGGGATGGAGTGTGGAAAGGAGCATGCAGGGGAGGGATGTTAGGAGAAATCCCTGCTCTTTAAAGAGTCATGGAAAGTCAGAACTGAAGGAGCCTTCGGGGATCATTTGATCCAACCCAGGGGTGGGGAACCTGGAGCCTCGAGGCCTCACGTGGCTCTCTAGGTCCTCAAGTGCGGCTCTTTGACTGAATGTCACAGAACAAAGGGGGGAAGTGGCCTTGAAGCTGCAGGCTCCCCACCCCTAGTGCAACCCATTCATTGTATATAGGAGGAAACTGAAGGACAGAGAGAAATGTCATGCCTGCCAAAGACACACAGGAGCCACAATCTGGATATTGAGTCCAGGTTGCCTAAATCTTTTTCTATGGAACCACAAGCTCATCAGGGAAGTAGATGAAGTTTGAATCTTTTTTTTTTTTTGGGTCTTGTCAGAGATAGGTCATACCATTCCCAGGGTCCCAGAAATTGTAGTTGCCTGTGCGTGCTATATGTATCATATAGTGGTTTCCTAGTGTGTGTTTGAGCTAATGGGACAATTGACCATGTGAACCCAGGCTACTTATTCATGATGCCTTCGGTGTAGCCCTGCTCTTTTAAGTCCAAGCTTTGGTGGGGAATGTCCAATATGGAGATCCTATAGCTCCCAGGACAGTGGGGGGTGGGCGGCAGAGGTCAAGGATGAGAGGGGTTTTTGTGAGAGGATGCCTCAAAAGGCTAAAACTATCTCTTGGATCCATGTATCTCCCTTGTCTGGCATCTTGGTCCACCCTGAGGCCCCAGACTGTCCCTTTAGTAGAATTACTCTTGAGATTCCAGCATTAAACAGAGGGCAAAAGACCACCCATCCTACTTCTTCCAAGAAGCCAAACCAGAGCCAATAGGAAGGGAGCTTAGAGATGGCCCCAGTTTAGCTTTCCTGGGCTGGAAGAATGACTCATTGTGACTTTTTCTTGGCTTTCCCAAGAATTTGGTACAGCCATTTTTTTTTAAAGTTGCAGAGGAGGCATATTGGGCAAGCTGGGCAAAAATGTTGACTCTCAGTCCACCCTCATGACTCTGTCTTCCTGTAAGAGACTTGGGTGTGGGAAAGCATTATTTTTGGTGATTCTGGTGAAGGTGAGAACCTCTTCCCTTCTCTCATTCCTCACTCATGTTGCTTCCCCCCCACCCCCGGCAAAGATTTTCAGATTCAGTTTCTTAGGATAGGCTGTCTAGTTTGCTCAATCCTAGGACAGGGTGGGAAGGAAGAGTTTGATAGGGTGATGGAATCCCACCTGGAGAGACAGACCCTTCTGGGAGTCCAGCTTCTAGAATCACTCAGGTCCCTCCCTGTGTCCAATCTCCTCAGGCATATGTTCCCCACACCCACCTGATGTAGCCTTCAGATCTGAGCAGAAAGTGAAGAGCAGCACCAGGAGGGTGAGAGGTACCCAGGGTCTCATGGTGTCACTCTACAGAAACGTGGAACCTAGAGAGCGAACTTGTACCCTCTCCTGAGGCCCATGAAGATAAGACTGGGAGCAAGAGAGGATCTCAGAAGAACAAAGGCAGGGCATGGGGTGTTGACCCATAGCCAACCCCACAATGATCCATCTCCCTGATGCTGCCCCAGGGTCAGAACCCCTAGGGAGCACACAAACAGACACTGAGTTCTCTGGAACAGGCTGTTCATCCATAAGAGGTCATGCTCTTGCCATACCCCTTTTGGAACTTAATCTGATCTAGCATCCCAACGTTGGCCACCACAAGGATCTGGGACTCCCATCTGGGGTCTTAAACATACCAGTTCAATAAATATCCATTGAATCAATAAGTGAGCAATGGCAGTATGTTCTCAGCTCCGTTATTTCAGAATGAATAAAAAGAGATGAAAAAGCATTTATTAAGCATTTACTGTATGCCAGGTACTGTGCCAAATGCTGAAGAAACAAATAGAAGTGAGCAAAACTGTCTTTGACCTTAAAGAGAATGTAAGCATTCTTATAGGGAAAGACAACACAGAGTGGAGTGATTGCCAAGAAGGAGGACTGAAGCCACTAGGCAAATGGTCGACTTATTCTTTTCAGAAAAGATCACCATGATTTGACTGCTGCTATCTGAGCTAAAGTCAGAAAGGGAGAGAGGAAGGTAAAGATCCATGCGTGGCAAGGAGATGGCTGGGAAGTGGTGGCCGGCTTGAGATGGGCAAGATAAAATAATCATCACTGATAGATCAAGGCCCAGAGTCACAGGGGTGGGAAAAATGTAATTTCTTTACTAGAGTTTTATTTTGAGTTCCATCCCACCTCATTCCATCCCATCTCATCCCGCCCCACTCCATCCTCTTTCATTCCATCCCATCACCTTCCATTTTATTCAGCCCCATTCCATTCTGTTGCTATTGTTCAGGGAATGATACATGCAGATTGATATTAAAAAGGGGACGGATGCCACTCAACCTGAGGGAAGCTGTTGACTCTTCCAAAACTACTACAACTTTAAAGAAAGCTGAACTGGGACCACAGGAAGAGGCAGAACTGGGAACATGCATTCAATTTATTCAACAAGTATTTATTAGGCTCCTACTGATTATAGAAGCAGTCTCCATTTTAAAATAGATTTTTTTAAAAAGTCACTATTACTTCCAAATAATTCCCTCTCATAGATTTCTCCCTTGTACACATAAAAGACTTCCCTTTTTGTGCCCAGATCTCCTACCATGGAAGTACCTGGCTTCCCTGAGTTCCCTTATCATATGGGGAAGAGTAGCCTATTGTGGCTATGAAACCAATCAAAGGAGTCTACTCCTCTTATGTGATATAGGAACTTAGGGATACCAGGTGCCTCCAGAGTAGGAGATCTAGCCATGAACAGGCAAGTTCCCTTATATGTATGAGAAATTAAAGTAAGCAAAACAAACCTTGTTGTCAACATGTTGACACATTGACAACACATGCCTGATTCAGTACATGTAGTCCCCTACTTTACTCCTGGGAGGGGGAAAGGGTGTTTTGTCATCAGTCCTCTGGAATTAAGATTTGTTGTTGTGTTGATCTGAGTTTTGATGCCTTTTAGTGACAGTTTCCTTTCTCTTGGTGGGTCCATTGTGTCTATTGTCCTGCTTCTGCATCAGTTCATACAAATCATCTCAAGTTTCTCTGAATTCTGTATCTCTACCATTTCTTGCATTCATAGAATACAATTTGTTCACCCACCCCCAAACTGATAGGCATTCTTGATTTGCTTCCACTTCTTTGCAGACCCTATAAAACAGATCAAGAAGGATGGAGAAGCTGAGTGAAGTGAGCAGAACCAGGTGAACAGTAACAATATTATGTGATGATCAACTTTAATGGACTTGGCTCTTCTCAGAAATGCAATGATCTAAGACAATTCCAAAAGACTCATGATAGAAAATACTATCCACATCCAGAGAAAAATCTATGAAGTCTAAATGCAGATTGAAGCATACTATTTTCACTTTTTTCTTTCTCTTGGTTTTTCCCTTTTGTTCTGATTCTTCTTCCTCAACATGACTAATGTGGAACTATGTTTAATATGATTGTGCATATATAACTTATATCAGATTGCTTGCCATCTTGGGGAGGGAGGGAGAGAAAAGTGTGGAACTCAAAATCTTATAAAGGTGAATGTTGAAAAATGTTGGAAAAAAATAAAATACTATTAAAAAAAAAAGGATGGAGAGGATGAAAAACTCAGGCTGCAAAGGTGGTGAACTTGGCCACTAGATGGAGGAGTCCAGGCCCAGGTATTTTCTATGTAGGACTGATCTAAGTTGGGCCAGCTTGGATTCTGAATCTGCTATATACCTGACACTGCCCACATGTATACCTTGTGACCTGATGATTGCTGCAAAAAATATAGACTAAACTTGTAATGAATTAAATCATTTGATCTTCAAGGTAACTGAGTCAAGAATGTGACATTGCCGGTTCATTAAGAGGGGCTGTATAGGAGATGAAAGTGGGTGTGTTTTTTAGGTCTAATCTCTCATTAGGAGGAGGCTCAACCCCTTGGGTTGTTACAGCAAAGGTTGAGATTGTGGATCAGATCAAGACCCTAAGGGGGAAAGGAAGAACATGACCTGTGATGGATGGACAGCCTGTCCTGGGGGACTTTTTGTCTTCCTTTGCATGCCCCATTTGATTTTCACCCTCAGGCACCAACCGCTCTGCCAAGAAGGCAGGCCATCAAGGGGCCAGCTGTGAGGCAAGTTGCCTTCCCCTGCCTTTACTCTTCTTTCCCCTATCCCAAGAGGACCCCCATGGGCTGAGGGTATAGATGTCTGCTCCAGGCTGGACCTTTCTATAAAGTGGCATCATGAGATTCTGGGCATTCCCTCATCTTCTTGGTGCTCCTCCTCCTCTTCTCAGAGATAAGGAGGTCTGCATCAGAGAAGGATGGGTATAGGGAATGTGTGCTTTAGGAGGAGGCTGGGCACCAAGTGGGGAGGGAATGGTTGGGTCAACCTGGAGGTTGGACTCCTTGGAGGGCCAAGAGGGTCCATCTTTCCAGATGAGGAGTCCATCACCCCCAGAAAATTCTCCTTCCCACAGGGTGCTGCTACTGAGCTGATCAGACAACTTGCTCCACAAGGGATGCTGGATCTTAGATTCTTTGGGGTAGGGGGAGGTTATGACAAGGGAGGGAAGAGAAAGTGGTTCTATCACCTTCACCAGTATCACCCACCTCAGAACCCTCAGAAGAACCCTTTTTGCACCCAGATGTTAGTTAATGGATTGCCTGTGTTCCTGGATGGAGTTTCTGGCCTATTACAGCCAAATTTGTCCACTGGGCCCATCACCACATTTGCTATATGGGAGATACTTACTATTTTCTTGTGGAATAGAATAAAAGGAATGGAGTGAACTGGGATAAAATTAATTCTATGTAGTGGAATATTGTTAGGTCTTGTTCAACTTTTTGTGACCCCGTGCACCATCTTGTCGGTGGGGTTTTCTTGGCAAAGATATAGGAGTGGGTTGCCATTTCCTTTCCATCCTTGCCACCCTGCTGTGCACATAGGCTTTTCAACATCCTTTCTAAATGTGTTTCCTAGAAACAAGCAAGATACTCCACATGAAGTCTTACATAGGACTGAATATAGTAGATCTGCCACTTCCCTCCTTCTGAAGTCAACACCCCCCAAGACTATGGTATCTTTTTTTTTTGACCACCATCTTGCCCTGTTGATTCATATAGAGCTTGCAGTCCATTAAAACTCTCAGATCTTTTCAATAGGAACTGTAGTCTAGCCACATTTCCCTCATCCTATACTTACGAAGTTTATTCTATTTTGCCCGTTAATCTTTACATTTATTCCTATTAAATTCCATCTGATTACATTTAATCCTTCATTCTAGTCTGTAGAGATCTTTTGGCTCCTGAATGTCATCCAGTTTGTTAGCTGCCTCTCTTAGATTCATCCTTTCCCTTTCCCTTCCCTGCCTCTCTCTCTCCTTTCCTTTCTTTGGAGTCTATCACTTGGGACTCAAGTAGTCTCTCCTTTGAACTTACAATGAGGAGGACAGGATACCTCTCTTACTTCCCCCAAGAACAATAATGGTGCATGTACATGGCAATGAGACCATGTGCTTGACCTGGACCTCAAGTCCTTTGATGCCTCTTCTGATCTGAGGCAGCTAGAGGAAGCAGCAGATAGAGTGTTAGACTTGGAATCAGGAAGACCTGGATTAGAACACTGCCTCAGATACTTACTAGTTGTGTGACCCTGGGCAAATGAAAAACTTCTCTCAGCCTGAGTTTCTGTATTTATGAAATGGAGATAACTGCACCAATCTCCCAGCATGGTTGTGAGGATCAAATGAGATAGCATATGTTAAGTGTTTTGCCAACTTTAAAGTGCTACATAAATGATAACTATTTGTGTTTCTTTTTCTGAGTACAGGAGACCAAAAAAGAATAGTTAGGTGGACATTCTAGGCTTGGTGGCTATCTCATGAGTTTGAGAATTCAGGTTCTCCTGGATTGAGGTACTGGTTGATCCACTGGGGATAATCTCCACAACAATTTGTCAGAGGGGAAGTCACAACCACCGAGGATACAACCCATTAAAAGGCTAAGATGGCACGAATCATGCCTTTACTTGCCAGGAGACCCAGACTTGTAAGTTGTGCAGACAGCACAGGCTACAGAGGAAAATGAAATATCTGTTCAACAGTTGCATAGCTCTTCCAGAATTTTTTTTTTAACCAGAATGGTGGGTTACTGTTAGCATGTTTTAAATAGTTGTCAATGAATGTTTATCAATATTTTATGCATGAATCTTTTGTATTTTAAGCATTTCTTCTTGGTAGAGGAAATAAATAGCTATCCTATTTTATATACTGAGAGATTTTGTAGAAGGAATTTTGTCATACCCTTTTGGGGGAGACCCCAGACATAAATTATACCTAAGCTCTATTTAAAAGATTTTCCATGGGGCTCTGGGGTGAGTCTAGGGGCAAAATTTACCAGAGAGTTCAAAGAAAAGCTAATCTCCTCTCTTTTGGGTCAACCTTCTCCTCAGGAATTAACCCAGTCCACTTGAGCCCAGAACTATGCCCCCCACCCCACCCCAGGAAAGGGGCACCCCTTCTGCTGAGAGTGACGCTAACAGTGCTAGTCTCCCAAGTAGCTCGTCACTCTTAAGGAAACCTGGAATCTCAAGCCTTGCTCTTCCCCCTATTCTTTCTCACTGCCCCCCTCCCCAGTCTTCTGAGCTGGGGGAGGTGTATTCAACCATAGTATTGATAGGGAATTACTTCAAGCTTTTTTTGTGTGTGAGGCAAGTGGAGTTAAGTGACTTGCCCAGAGTCACATAGCTAGAGAGTGTTATGTGTTTGAGGCCAGATTTGAACTCAGGTCCTCCTGACTCCAGGGCCAGAGCTCTATCCACTGCGCTACCTAGCTGCCTCTGCCTCCCTGGTTGGACCTGTGGTAACTATCACTCCAGCTACTTCTAGGGTTCTTCAGTTCTTCTAGATGACAGCCAGATAAAAACTCTCTTGGATATCTATCTCACAGACTGGTCATTGGAAGGACCCTGGGCCAGCATCTTTTCTCATAACTCTCTGGAACTTTTTTTCCCCAGTGTATCTGTCATCTAGGATGACTGGACACAGGCAGTTTGCATGATGCCAGGTGTAACCCACAGATACCCAAGAGGTAGGAGTTTTCATGGATAGAACAAGAGGAGAGAGAGAGAGAGAGAGAGAGAGAGAGAGAGAGAGAGGAGAGTGAGAGAGAGAGAGAGAGAGAGAGAGAGAGCAAGACAGCCACAAGATGTTGTATTGGTCTTATAAGGGTCCTTTTAAACTTCTGACCTGTCACCTACTTAACAATTAGATACTCACATCTTTCTATCCCCCACTTCTGTTTCTTTGGCACTAACAGGCAATGAAGAGGAAACCACCAGTCAGCTGTGGCTTAGGAAGGGTGACCACTGTCAGGTGTTACATAGAGGTTAGGCTTCCCCCTCTCAAAAAAAAAAAAGATTTCTCTAGCATTTACCAGTGAATCCTACTTTCATCCTTCACTCAATACCCATTCTCTTCCCCCTCCCTATCCATCTCAATGCTACTCCTTTAATGATCTACTCCTGCTCTATTGGCCTCTTCCACTGTGCCCTCTGGAATTCCTGTGCTATACAAACTTTCCTCATTTTAGACCTCTTCCTCTTGTATTCCTATCATCTGGAACTCATAGAAACCTGGATGCCCCTAGATGGTGCTGCATCCCTGGCCATCTTTTTCAGTATTGGATACATCTTTTCTCATATTCTTGAACAAACTCCTGGAGGGGGAATGAGAATTCTCTTTGCTCCCCACTGACATTTTTTCAGATTCCTTCTCTGCTGATGTCACCCAGCAGCCTTTCTTCCCTGGAGGTTTACTGTATTCAAATTTACCATCTAGTCCGGGTCTTGGCAGCCAGTACCTGTCAGCTCATGAGTCATTTCCCCTTCTTTCTTATGGAATGCATTCCTGGCTTTATTGTCTTTTTCCCCACTATAGCTCCCATCTTTATGCTAAGGAGACTTCAATATTCTCATTGATATATCCTCAAACTCCCCAATCTCCTGATTAGTGTTCCTGCACCAGCACGTTAACACAGATCAAAATGTTGACCATTATCTTCTAGAAAGTCACAAAAACTCAAGAACATTTTTCATAGATGTGGTGGTATCAAGTGCTCCTAATCTCCAAGGAACATGGAATAAGAAGTTCTCAAAACACAGGAAACTAGCAGAGGAGTTTAAAACTATGTGGGGAACAAGATGAGATATATACCATCTCTGATGTCCTGTTGGTTCCCGGAGTTCTAGTGAAAATGTAGAGGGGTCCTGTAGGAGAAGACCTTGTATCCAAGTACTTTTGTTCAATTACAAAAAGTAGCTAATTATTTGATCCATCTGTGCAGTAGATTTTAAATATAAAAGCAAAATAGTGGGATAGCTACTTATCAACCAGGACCAGTTCTATCTAAACTCCATAAAAAAAGATGAGAATGAAATGATAATAATAACTGATATTTTCATATTGCTTCTAGGTATACAAAGCATGTTATATATCATCTCACTTAATATGCCTTTTGAGGTACGTATTATTATCTCCATTTTATAGATTAGGACACTGATCTACTGTTGTAGGTACAGAGACTTATCTATGGTCAAAGAGCTCACCACCAGGTCTATCTTGACTCAGTGTTCCTTCCATCAATACAGTTTACCTCTTCTTGGTCTATTATATAGTAGAAAATCATAAAATTTGGGAGGTTGAAGGAAGCTCAGAGGGTGTTTTACTCCAGAGGACCTGAAAGTTCCTCTCCACAATATGTGTGACCAATAGTCATTGAAATTTACTTTAAAATCAAAAGTAAGTGTAGCACCTTCCCTGGGTCACTGTTTCAGGTCAGTCGTCACACTTCTGTGAACTCACCTGGGGTCACTATGAGAAGCAGGAGAACTGGGAACATTTATTCATTTAATAACTATTTATTAGGTGCCTATAGGACATAAAGGCATGCTTCCTGTGCATTGTGTTTTCTGAGTCAGCTGGTGATGAAGTGGATAGAGTTCTGGGCCTGTAGCCAGGAAGACCCAAGTTCAAATCTAGCCTCAGACACTAGCCATGTGACCCTGGGCGAGTCACTTAATCTCCCTAAGTTTCCTCAGTTGTCAAGTGGGGATTATAATAGCAACTTAGATCACAGGTTGTTGTGAGAATCAAATAAGATAATGTTAGTAAATGACACTTAGCATATAGTACCTGGCAGTCAGCACTTATATAACTGTCCTTTCTCTTCTCTTTGCCTTCCTTCTCTTTGTCTTCCCTTCTCTTATGTTCATCTTCCCTTCCTTTCCCTTTGTCTTCTATTCCCTTCCCTTCCCTTCTGTTCATCTTCTCTTCCCTTCCCTTCCCTTCTGTTCATCTTCTCTTCCCTTCCCTTCCCTTCCCTTCCCTTCCCTTCCTCCCTTCCCTTCCCTTCCCTTCCCTTCCCTTCCCTTCCCTTCCCATCTCATAGAATCAAGGAGAACCCAATCCAGGAACTTACTGGACTTGGGTACCTTGACAGAAGCAACCAGAAGAAAGCATTTCAACATCTGACTGATCTAAGCTGGGCCAGAATGGACTTTGTAACTTGGCTTTGAAGCCACAAGTGCTCATCTATGTAGGTTGTGACCTGATTAAGCCTTAGGAATGGAACAGATTTTAAATATAGATTGAATCAGTCCTAGAGATAAGCAAACTTGTGGTGGCAAGGTATTGTTGCTTCTCCTTACTCATTCAGAGGGTCTGGGTAGGAGATACGTGGGTCTTGTCTCAAATCTACCCTTATGTAAGAGACCCAAACCCTTGAACTATGGCAACAAATTGAGATCAGATAAAGATCCCCAGGAGATAGGGAGAGCATGTCTCCTGATGCATAGCCTATTCTAGGGAATTCAATGTGCTTTCCCAAGTTTGGCCCTGGGAGGGAGAGGGAGGGGTCTTGTTTCTAAGAAAGCAGTGAGGGGCAAGGCCCCTGCCAAGAAGGGAAAATCACTAAGGGGACTGGTGGAAAGACAAAGTTCTATCCTCTGTCTTTATTCTTCAGAGAGCCAGCCTCACCCCCATATCACCAGTCTAATTCCCATTGTGGATTGAGGGCATCAATGCCTGTTCCAGGCTGGTCTCTCCTGCCGAGCAGCACCATGAGGCTCAGGGCCACCTTCACCATCTTGGTGCTGCTCATTCTCTGCTCAAAGCAGAAGGCTGCTGTAACAAATAGAGGTGGGTACAGGATTGGTGTCTGAAGACTGGGCAAGGGGAGGGCCTTGGTTTCACCTAAAAGCTGGGATCTGAGGAAGATTTATCTTTCTATATAAAGAATTCTTCTTCCCACATAGCCTTGGTTCTTACCTGACCCAGTGATATGGATGTAGTCTGGGGGAAGGGAATAAGGAGTTATAGCACTAACAATCTCTAGATATTCTTTAATCTTCAAAGAGTAGGATCAGATTGTCCCTCCCCAATCATATGTGGCTATTGTTGATCTCTTTCCCTTTATTTCTTCATTTTTATTTTGGGTAAAGAGGAACCATTATAATGGAATACTTGGCCAGGAAAAATAACCCTCAATGTGCATGTGAACAGGATTCACTAAGCCCCAAACAGAGGGGAGGTCACAGAATAGACTGGGAAAAGCAAATCTAACAAAATGTTATTGACAAGAGACACAAAACATAAAGATTGAAGAAGAGTTGAAATGAAGGCTTAAGCAGAATTGATTATACCGTAGGTGAATTCAGAAAGGAGGGAGGGTGACTTGGAAGTCAATAGATGGCAGCAGAAAAGTGGAAGTCGGAAAGCAGGTTCCTGAGTGATGGTGGTGGATTATATACTTATTTTTCCTATTGCCCAGTGGGGGTGGGAGCAACAAGAGAGGAGAAGATGGTCAGGGATTCAGTTTCTTCCAGAGTGAGTTAATTTTCCATCAGCATAGAAAGATGTCTAGGATGAAGGGAAGTTTCCAGAGGTCATAGTGGAAAGAGAGAGTAGAGGGGGATAGAGACTGGGGAGGGGTGATAGGTAGAGATGAGAAGTGAGGAGTAGAAGCAAAGGAAGGGAGTCTTCTCCTTTTCAGGCTTCTACGCTCTCTCCATATCACATATTCTTTGCCCTCCTTACTTGGTGGAATCAGAATGCTCAGTGTCTTTTATGGACAATTCTTGTGTCCTGATATCAGGCTTCCATTTTTAAAGGGGGTGCACTATCTGAGCCTTTCCCCTTTTTCCAAGAGATTCATGTTATTTTGTTTCACTGATTCTGGCAATGCACAAATCCCCACCAAGCCCGAATGAAAACAATAACTACCCTTAGCTATTCTCTGTCGGAGGGTTTCAAGCAGAAATCCAAAGATTGGCAAGACTCTATATAAAGGAATTATGTCAAAATTTTACCTTACCCTTTTCTCTGATAGACAACCACACTATCTCACCTTGTTCCTGCTTCTTGGACTCTCTGTCTTCAATAGGGAAGGAGCTTCATTTTGTATCAGTCCCCTGGGAGCTGTAGTCCCCTGGGTTTCCATGTTGGACCATCATTGGGCTTAGAGCCCAGGGGTTTACCTAAAGCTTTATGGCTGGCATGGAAGCCACAAGTTGCCAGCTGGTGTGCCTAGTTGGACCTTTTGGCTAAGATCCATTACAAAAGATCCCCAGCAAGACCCTTATCACACAGGTACCATGGCTACAATAACTAGGATGCTGAGAAGGAAACAGGTCACATCTCGGAGGACCAGACATGGATTCTGACCTGACCACCAGCCCACCCTTCTGTTCCTCCCTTTGGCCAGGAAACCTGGCTCCTAATTGATCTCTGCCACTATTGGACTCTGTGACCTCTAGGAGGTCATTCTCCTTTTCTGAACCTCCTTCCCATAGCTGTTGGGACTTTGATGATCACTCTGGCATCACTTGTCAGTCATTTCCACCTCTCTGGTGTTTCTCTTTAGAGTTCTGCAAGGAGACTGAAGTGCAGGGCCCCTGCCGAGCTTTTATCCCTAGGTGGTATTATGACTTTAAGAGCAATACATGTGGGCTGTTTATCTATGGAGGCTGTGGAGGCAACAACAACAATTTCCAAAGCAAAATTGATTGTCTGGAAACCTGCAGTGGAAAACGTAAGCCTAAGAATTCTCTTGATATCCAGACCCAGTCCTCTCCAAAGCTAGAGCCAGCTGGAGATACGTCCCCAGTGGTATCTTTGTTACTTTGCCTGAAATTCCTCCAATGTTCCCATTTCACTTGGCTTCTCAAAGGGGAAAGCTACTATAATTGTTCACATGTTAATGTAAATTCCTTTCATCGGAGATTGTTCTCCTGCCCAAAGGGCAAAGGTGAATAGAGGAGGGGAGAAGGGGTGATTTACAACTCTGGGAATTCAGCCTGAGTGTAGGTTCACAGGAAGGTCTTTGGGGAGCCAGGGGTGTCCAAAAAGGACCTGGGCCAAGGAAACAAGGGCATAATAGGAGGTTGGGTAGAGTCACAGAAACAGAAGCGAGGGAGGGGGGGCCTCAGGACTCATTTTGGCTGCCTCAACTCTGAAAGGATTTGTTGATACCTACTGCGTATAAGGCACTGGGTGTCCCAAGCTGTTCCATGGAAGGCCCTTTGGGAGGGAGCTGTGGATGACTTCCATCTGGGCAGAGGGCCTGGACAGGTGATATAGATGGAGGTTTCTGAGTGAGGATGGTAGAAAATCTACCTACTTTTCCTCTTGCCCAGTGTCAGACATGGGAAGTCTGGGCAGTGATACATTGTGATAGAAGTGGTCAGTACTGGGAAAGGGGGGTCAAGAATTTAGTGTTGTCCAGAGGGAGACAGTTGTCTACAGCTATAAGAAGAGGTCTACTTAGCCTAGGGACTGTGACAGGTCCCTGAATAGCATTCTGCCTTCTGACTCAATGATGTTCCCTTGCATTTGGACCCAATGTCTTTCTTTTTTTTTCATTTTATTTTTTTGTTCCCCCATGTGAACTGCCTCAGATCTGACTGCAGGATTCATTTTTATGCTTTCTCTCCACATACCAGGGTGAAAGTCATCAGGGGTCAGCAATACCCATGGGCCTTGGAGTGGGAACTATTTGGGATGGTGCTAGAGGGCCAGAGATATGAGGAGTGGGCTTCTGAGTTGGTGCCTCAATGACCCACTTCAATGGGCACAGCATCGGGATGCAGGATGTCTGACTCTTCCTGGAATTTGCTTGTACTATGGAATCTTCTTTTTGTTTTCTAGGTTAAGGGGAAGATGTCGTATTTACCCAATCCCCTGATTTCCCTGGGCTTTCCCTGGGCAATGATTTCCCCAGCCTATAGTTCTTACTGGGCACCATTTCCTCCCAATTTCTGATCCTATCAGTCTCTCTTTTTCTGATCCCCCTGTCTGCAAAAAGCTCCCTGAAATAAAGTGATTTGTCTCCTGATCAGGTATTTTGTGAATTAATTCATCAGTAATAAGTCATCAGATTCTATACCTATGGAGCTCCCACAATCTAAATGTTGGCAAGAGAACCTCAGGTGCCATGTAGTCCAACCCATACCTGAGCAAGAAAAACTCTACCACATACCCATATTGCCATCTAGCTTTTCCTTAAAGAGCTCTAATGAGAGGAAACTCATAAATAATAGCTAACATTTATTAGTGCTTACTATGTTCCAGGAACTGTGCTAAGTGCTTTACAATAATTATCTCATTTGATCCTCACAACAATCTGGAGTGGTAGGTGCTATTTTTATCCCCATTTTACATATGAAGAAACTGAGGCAAACAGAGGTTAAGTGATTTGCTCAGGTCACACAGCTAGTGAATGTCTGAGGTCAAATTTGAACTCAGGTCTTTCTGACTCCAGACCCAGCTGATTCTACTTTTTCGATAGCCATAATTGTTCTATGTAGTCTATGTAACCTATGATGAGCCTTATTTCAATTCCTGCTCTCACAGGAGTCTACAGCAAGCTTCAAGGATCTAGAGTTACCCAGGAGAGGTTATTTTCTAAGGCCATTGGCTTGAGCCCCCAGTGGTGTGCTTCCCTTCAAGATGGTCACTTGAAGATCAATTTAGTCTGCCAGACTTAAATAGCCTTTAGAAATGGATATACACTAAGGTATATAACAAGAATCACTGGTACAAAACCACCTCTACCCCTGTATTACACACTTTCCCCCCAAGTACACATCAAATCCAAGGAAAAGTGGGGTCAAGATTAGAGAGTGCATGTGATAATTCACAGCTTCTGTTTGCTAGAAGTCTTTTCTCCTATTTGTATGGTACTTAATAAAATCCTGCTAGACATGGTGTTTAAGGCTTCCAAGTAACTGATTGAGACAAACTCTCATGTAGTTAATCTATCTAGGCTAACGTGGAGTGGAATGAGTTTGACTCCATCCTTACGTTTATATCGAGCTAACTTTGAATCTTTGCGACTTCTTCCCATTTCTTCTAGATTTGATTTCAGGGGCCAATCAGAACAAGTCTACTCTCCCTTCCAAAAGGCAGGTCCTCAAATACTTGAAGATGTGTTTAGTTACTCCAAATTCATTATGTAGAGTAGTCATGATGACGTCAATTAGGTGGCCCCAGTATGGTGAGGTCTGGACTCTGACTAAAAATGTCTCCTCTTTTTTATTTTTTACTTATTTTTTAATGTAAATTTATTTATTTTTAGTTCTCAACATTCACTTCCACAAGTTTTTGAGCTCCAAATTTTCACCCCATCTCACCCCTCCTCCACCCCAAGATGGCATGCATTCTGAATATCCCTTCCCCTAGTCTGTCCTCTCTTCTATCTCTCCCCCCTTCTCTAATCCCCTTCCCCTTCTATTTTCCTGTAGGGCAGGATAGACTTCTGTACCCCATTTCCTGTATTTCTTATTTGCCAGTAGCATGTGAAAACACTTTTTTTAAACATATGCTTTTAAAACTTTAGGCTTCAAATTTTCTCTCTTCCTCCCTCCCCACCCACCCTCATTGAAAAGGCAAGCAACTCAATATAGGTTGCACATGTGCAGTTATGCAAAACACATCCATAGTAGACATGTTGTGAAAAACTAACTCTATTTCCCTTAATCCTATCCTGCCCTCCCATTTATTCTATTCTTTCTTTTGACCTGTCCTCCTCAGAAGTATTTACTTCTGATTACACCCTTTCCAATCTGCCCTCCTCTCTATCATCCCCCTGCTCTCTTGTCCCCTTCTCCCCCTATTTTCCTGTAGGGTAAGACAGATTTCCATGCCCAATTGAATGTGTATATTATTCCCTTCTTAAGCCAAATCCTATGAGAATAAGATTCATTCATTCCCTCTCACCTTCCCCATTTCCCTCCACTGTAAGAGACTTTTCTGTTTTTTTTGTGAGATAATTTACCCCATTCTACCTCTCCCTTTCTTCTTCCTGAGTATAATCCTCTCTCATCCCTTAATTTTATTCTCAGATATGACCCCTTAATCTTCAACTCACCCTGTGCCCTCTATCTATCTATCTATCTATCTATATACATATAATTTTTTTCCTACCCTAATACTGCCAAAGGTCTCATGAGTTGTAAATATCATCTTTCCATGCAGGAATGTAAACAGTTCAATCTTAATAAGTCTCTTATGATTTCTCTTTCCTGTTTACCTCTTCATGTTCCACTGAGTCCTATATTTGAAAGTCAATTTTCTATTCAGCTCTGGTCTTTTCATTAGAATGCTTGAAAGTCCTCTATTTCTGAATGACCATTTTTCCCCTGAAGGATTATACTCAGTTTTGCTGGGTAGGTGATTCTTGGTTGTAATCCTATCTCCTTTGCCCTCCGAATATTATATTCCATGCCCTGGTCCTTTAATGTAGAAGCTGCTAAATCTTGTGTTATCCTGATTGTGTTTCCACAGTACTTGAATTGTTTCCTTCTGGCAGCTTGTAATATTTTCTCCTTGACCTGGGAACTCTGGAATTTGGCTACAATATTCCTAGGAGTTTTCCTTTGGGGATCTCTTTCAGGAGGAGATCTGTGGATTCTTTCAATTTCTATTTTGCCCTCTGGTTCTACTTATCAGGGCAGTTTTCCTTGATAATTTCTTGAAAGATGATGTCTAGGCTCTTTTTTTGATCATGGCTTTCAGATAGTCCAATAATTTTTAAATTCTCTCTCCTGGATCTATTTTCCAGGTCAGTTGTTTTTCCAATGAGATATTTCACATTGTTTTCTAATTTTTCATTCTTTTGGATTTGTTTTACAGTGTCTTGATTTCTCATAAAGTCACTAGCTTCCAATTGCTCTATTCTAATTTTTAAGGAAGTATTTTCTTCAGTAATCTTTTGGACTTCCTTTTCCATTTGGCCAATTTTTCTTTTTAGGGCATTTTTCTCCTCATTGGCTTTTTGGACCTCTTTTGCCATTTGGGTTAGGCTATTTTTTAAGGTGTTATTTTCTTCAGTATTTTTTTGGGTCTCCTTTAGCAAGCTGTTGACTTGTTTTTCATGATTTTCTTGCATCACTCTCATTTCTCTTCCCAGTTTTTCCTCTACTTCCCTTACTTGCTTCTCAAAATCCCTTTTGAGCTCTTCCAAGGCCTGGGACTGATTCATATTTTTCTTGGAGGCTTTGGATGTAGGAGCTTTGACTTTGTTGTCTTCTTCTGGTTGTATATTTTGATCTTCTTTTTACCAAAAAAAAGATAGTCTGACTCTTTTTGCGGCTTGCTCATGATCCCAGCCAATTACTTGAGTTTTAAACTCTTTGTTAAGGTAAGAGTCTGCTTCCAATGTGGAGAATGTACTGTCCCAAGCTTCAGGGGTTTGTACAGCTGTTTTCAGAGATACTTGTAGGGACCTGTAAATTTTCAGTTCTTCCAAGGTGGTATGATAAGGGGCGAGGTGTTTACTCCTTTCCTGGCCTGTGACCACGAGTACTCCTTTCTGTCCTGTAACTGTGAGGAGGGGTTTCTCTCCACTACAAGCTCCACCAAGCCAGCGCTCCTCCTCACCCCAGCACCGCCGCCCAGAACTGTGACCCAGATCCAAACACGGGCAA